TGGGGGTCTCACCTGGGACATCCTGTAGCTCTTGGGGTAGGGAGTCTCACCTGGGGCATTGTGCAGCTTTTGGGGGTCTGGGGTCTCAGCCGGGGCACCCTGCAGCTCCCAGGGGTGGGGGTCTCACCTGGGGGCACCCTGCAGCTCACCTGGGGTCTCTGCGGGTCCTATCATGGTGGGCACAGCTCTGGGGGTGGGGAGGTTTTTTAGGGAAGCGCTGTTTTTATGGCTCTGGGGGGGTCTCCACCACTCCGGGTGTGTCGGGTGGGGTTGTGTCACAGTGCCCCAACCCCAACCACCCCCTTGTTCCCACAGGTGGCAGGACCTGGTGGTGGGGGCTCCCTACTACTTCGAGAGGAAGCAGGAGGTGGGGGGCGCGGTGTACGTGTACATGAACGAGGTGGGGGGCTTCCAGCTGCACCCCAGCCTGGTCCTCACCGGCCCCAGCTACTCCGGGTTCGGCTTCGCCCTGGCCAGCATTGGGGATGTCAACCAGGATGGATTCCAGGGTGAGGGGCTGGGCACTGCTCTCTGGGGGGAGCTGGAGAGCCCCCCCACTGGAGGGGGCATCGGGAGGTCCCTGGAGAGGTTTGGGGTGGAGAGATGGAGATGGGGGGGTGCATTTAAAGTGGAGGGGAGGGGCTTGAGGGGGGAACCCCATCCCTGAGGGGCTGACCGTGCTCTTCTCCCCCCAGATATTGCTGTGGGGGCTCCTTTTGAGGGGTATGGGAAGGTCTACATCTACCACAGCAGTGCTGAGGGGCTGCAGGACAAACCCCGGCAGGTAACGGCCCCATGGGGGAGGGTGTCCCTTCACTGCGGGGGGTCAGGGCTCTGGACCCCCTCACCGGGGTGTCAGGGCTCTGGACCCCCTCACCGGGGTGTCAGGGTTCCAGATATCCCCCGAGCATCCCATGCTCCAGGGCAGGATGCAGCGGGTCAGTCCCTGGATCTGTGGGGCTGGTGAGCAATGCTTGACACCCCCTTGCCCCCCCAACTCCAGGTGATCAGTGGGTCAGACCTGGGCCCCACCAAAATAAAGACCTTTGGGTACTCGCTGAGTGGGGGGCTGGACGTGGACGACAATTCCTACCCGGATCTCCTGGTGGGCAGCTTGAACGAGCGGATCATCCTGCTCAGGTACAGGGGTGGGGGGACAGGGGCAGGTGTCCTGCAGGCCCTGCCACCCCCGGCAGGGCTCAGCCCAAATCCACCTCTGCCCAGAGCTCGCCCCGTGATCAACATCCTGGACAAGACCTTCACGGTGACCCCCAGCAAGGTGGACCCCGCTCAGTGCACACAGAAGTCCTGGTGAGCCCC